CAACGGTGACTTTTCACCAGTGTGAGACGCACACACGATCAGGGGGAAGGTGAAAGGAAACCCTGGGAACAGGTAATTCGAGAGACACGAAGGTGTCGACCGCGTTTAACGAGGACAAATTTCGTGTGGAATCGCCGAAACCGAGTCGTGACAGGATCGTCGAACGTTCACGATATTACGGTGTTTCCCTGCTAGGAGCGGTTCGTATATGCATTTTTCTGTACACTGGATATGCATTATTAATGCAGCGTGAGCCTTCGAACATCGCCGTGCCGCGTGACGAATCCCGTTGAAGAGGAATCCCGGATCGCGCTGTCGGACTTCGATTACTTTGGGGTGGCCGGAGAAAATCGGCGAGACGAGGGAAACGATCACGTCCGAGAATCACGATGATCCGTTTGAGATATTCAAATCGTAATCGAAAGAGCGATAACATTATTCTATGATTCCCGATTCATTTCGTAAAAAATTAATTAATTTTTCTGTCAATTGTTCGAGAAGTATCTGCGTAAAAAAATGCCAGGCGTCGGATCGCGAAGGTTAAATAGTATGTAGAGAAAGAAAGGCAATACTCGTATTCAAAAGTTTCGTACATACGAAGATAGAAAAGTTTGTTACGGCGAATATCGATTGGCTATAGATTTATAAAACGTTTGAAAAAGCAATACGACGTTCATCGATTTGGAGTTTATATTCTATCGGTTTGTTCAAATTATTCATCCAAATGACCGCGGCAGCTTCTTCAATTCGCAATTCTTCGTCTACCTCCGCGCAAAAGACTTTCGATTAGCATGGTCGACGGAAGGATACAAAACGATAGCGAGCAGGTTCATCCGGTCAACGAGGTCGTCGGAAATAAAGACCGGGAACGGTATAACGCGCGGCAGAGAAGACATATAGGAGGAAGAGTGGAGGGTGAAAACGGGGAGAAAGAGAGAAGAAGAGAGAGAAAAAAAAGAGAGGAGGAGGAAAGTTAACCGCAGTGGATGCGTGGCTGCACATCGTCCACCCTTGTGGCCCGTCTCGATCCCTCCACATGCACGGGTTCGACGCATCGCGACGCATCGAGGGTGAACGAGGCCGATGTGCAATCTATCGAAAGATATTCATGGGGCTGGCCGTTGGCCCCTGTGCTCACGTCCCCATCAGCTATAACCGTCGCGTCACGAATGTCTTATTGATTGCATCCAACCGAACGGAGACGAGGACAGGCAAAAACAGAGAATCGTAGAGCATCCACAGAGCGAGAGAAACAAAAAGAGAGAGACAGAGGGTGGAAAAGACGAGGAAGGGTGGTGAGGGAGAGGGCGGAAACGCAAGCAACCCCTCCAGCTTGATATAACGCGACAGGAAAATGGGGAGGGAAAGTTAGCCCGGAAGCGGCGAATATGCGTTTTGGATCACCGCCGGATGTTCACGGGGTTGTTGCAGTTATTGTTATCGTTGTTGTTGCTGTTACGCTCGCTGGAGATCCGTCACATTCCTGTACAATTTTCCGTGTCGAATCTCGCCAATCTTTTTAGAAGATAGGCCACGGTTACAACGAATGTGTATTCTGACGGATGAAACATCTCAGGAATGATGTACGCGCACCTCTTTCATAATTGTTACATAACAACATATTTTTTAAACTCTGTTAACGTTATTCGTAGAAAAAAGGACGATGCGTTTCAAATTTTGGTACAGATTTTAGGTAAACTTCTTCCAAGTTTACGTTTATTTCCTACAAAACTTTGTCACAATGGAATTCGGGCTAGAGGATCGCGGGGACAAATATGATTCTTATTAAATTATGTTCCTCTTGTAACCCATAGAAATAACCCTTACAAATTCTCGCATCGTTATGTCACTATGGAATAGGAAATCACGATCGATAAATCGTCTCCTCGTTAATTTAAGGCAATCGTCAAATTTTGTGGGAAAGAAAAAATGTGCTAACACGTACTTATGAATCACGGTGTATACGCGTAACGTTTTAGTAAAGTAAATTTTCGTTAACTCGTCTATTCGATCTCGTTTTCAATTAAGTGAAGCGAAGAAAACTTGGAGGTCGAGAAAGGCGAGAAGACACGACATCGTGGACGAAACGACGAGTTTACGGGTTAACGCAAATGAGAGGATTTGACGAACTCGAACATGACGAGCATCACAGAGAATACGACGGATCGGCGAGATGTCCGAGCGCGAAATAACGCGGAAGACCAGACGAGAAGGGGTGGAATATAGATCCAGATCGTCGCCGGCAGACGACGTCATGGGGTTAAAGCCATCTCTTGCGTCCACTCTTTTCCACCCTCATTTCCATCCAGTCGTTCCACGTCGCTTGACATCGACCACCCTTATTGGGAATCCGAATTCGGCATTTGCTTCTTTCATTTATCAGGATTGTCGAGCTTGACCGACGATCTCTCTCGACAATCCTCTAAATCGGTCCTTTTGCTCCATTTCTCTCCTTCTCGCTTACAAACATCGCCTCTTCTATCTCCTTTACTCCCTCTTTCCGCTCTTTCGAAATATCTCGACATTCTATCCATCACGCCGGATTCACGCGGGAACGGGCTTAACGCGCACTCCTCAAGCGTTACTTTATAATTTATTTTCTCGCTACACTGCCACTCCATGTTTTTCCTCTCTCTCTCTCTCTCTCTCTCTCTCCCTCCATCCCCCTTTCTTTCTCTCTTTCTCTCCATTATAAAAAAAGAGACACGCTTCAGAGCGGGAAAACGTTTCGTCGACTAGAAAACGCGGACGTCAACCGGTTGTTTCAACAGTTCTTCTAGCGAATTTGAGTTGCACAAAAACGCAAAGCCCGGACGAGTTGCCCTTTATCGGAAAAGGCTGGTGATCGTCGGTCCTGTTCTTGCGGGCCGAAGAATCGCAGGTTGTCGCGATTTTCCCGACCGTAAACTC